AAAAAATTGTGAAATTCCCATAATTGGCTCAACCACAATACACTGGTATATTTCATCTACATAATATTTATGGTAAATCAATTTTTGAATAATTGAAAGTTCATTTAAATTATTTGTTGGTAGTTGTTTACGAGAAATATATAATATAAAAGCAGTCATTAAGCCAACCAAAGCTCCAATAATTGCAAAAGCCATTAGCTTTAATTCAACTGAGGTTTCTATAAGATTACTATTTTTATGAGCTATAAAAACAGGCTCTAAAAAATTATGTAACCAATGAATTTTGCTAATAAAATGTGGCAAACCAATTGCCCCTCCCACAATTGAAAGAATTCCTAAAACAATTAAAGGTATGGTTATATAAGCAGATGATTCATGAGCATGTTTCCATTGTTTCTCTGTTCCTCTATGAGAGGTAAAAAATACTAAAAACAACAAACGAAACATATAAAATGCTGTTAATATTGAGGTTACCGAAGCAATTATCCATAATATTTTATTATGTTCAAAAGCTTGAGCTAATATTTCATCTTTAGAAAAAAATCCTGCGAAAGGAGGTATTCCTGAAATAGCAATTGTTGCTATTAAAAAAGTTAAAAATGTTAAGGGCATTTTTTTTTGTAAACCTCCCATTTTGCGAATATCTTGTTGATGATGCAGGGCATGGATTACAGATCCTGCACCCAGAAATAAACATGCTTTAAAAAAAGCATGTGTTATTACATGAAATATACCTGTAGTGTATGCTCCCAATCCAAGAGCTAAAAACATTAATCCAAGTTGAGAAATTGTAGAGTATGCCAATATTTTTTTTATATCTTTTTGCAAAACTGCAATGGAGGCAGAGAATAATGCTGTAATTGCACCCACAAAAGCCATTGCATTTAAAGTTTCTGGTGCCATATCAAATAAAAAGTACATTCTACATACTAAATAAATTCCTGCTGTTACCATTGTAGCAGCATGAATTAAAGCAGAAACTGGTGTGGGGCCAGCCATAGCATCTGGAAGCCATGTATACAAAGGAAATTGAGCGCTTTTTCCTGTAGCTCCTAAAAACAATAAAAAAGTAATGATTACTATAATTCCATGTGAGACAGATGTTGTCTTAACTGCTTGAGCTAAAGTTGAATATTGCACTGACCCAAAATAAAAAAGCAATAAAAAGGTGGCGATAAGAAAACCTAAATCACCTATTCTATTCATGATAAATGCTTTATTAGCTGCTTGGTTATACTTTGTATTTTTATACCAAAAACCAATTAATAAATAAGAACAAAGCCCAACTCCTTCCCAACCAATAAAAGTTACAAGTAAATTATTTCCTAAAACCAAAGTTATCATGAAAAAGACAAAAAGATTCAGATAAGAAAAAAATCTAGAGAACCCCTCGTCTTCTTTCATATAGCCAATGGAATATACATGAATTAAGAATCCAATACCTGTAATGAACAAAATCCATAAAATTGAAAGTCTATCTAATATTAACCCAAAGGATAGGGCAACATTCTGTACATTAAACCAATTAACAATATTTATTTCAATGGGAGATGGATTAAGTTGTAATTGTTGAAAATATAATATACCCACAATAAAAGAACCCAAAATGGTTAAAGAACTTAAAGTGCCAGAAAACACTTTGGGTAAGAATTTACCAATTGAACCATTGATAAGAAATCCCACCAAAGGCAATAATAATAAGGTATATAGTGCTATATCATTCATTTTATCCTTTTAATATTTGAAGTTCATCAATATCAACTGTGTGTTTATTTCTAAACATACTTACCAATATGGTTAACCCGACAACCACTTCTGCTGCTGCAACGCCCATAACAAAAAACACAAATACTTGTCCTTGTGCATCATTGTGCCATACAGATAAGGCTACTAATAATAAGTTTATTGCATTCAACATTATTTCAATACACATGAACATGATTATAGCATTTCTTCTATAAAGCAAGCCAAATAAACCTATACAGAATAAAGTAACACTTAATATAAAATAGTACTCAATTGGTACTTGCAAGAATATATTATTTAATTGGTTATTCATTATGATACTATTCTTTCTTTTTTAGATAATAACACGGCTCCAATCATAGCACTTAATAACAAAATAGAAATAAATTCAAAAGGGAACATATATTCATTGAGCAATACTTTCCCTAAATTCTTAACCATCCCTATGTTTGTATCTGAAGAAGTGCTGGGTTGTATAAATTTTGTTCTTTGTATAGCTAAAACAAAAAGCATCAATAAACTTCCGCATGAAATGGTTGTGATTAATTTCATCAACCATGATTTTTGTTTTTCCTTTTTTTCATCTAGATTCATAAGCATTAAGGTGAATAAAAACAAAACCATAATTGCGCCTGCATAAACAATAATTTGTACAATGGCCAAAAAATCTGCGTTTAACGTAGCATAATGACCTGCTACACAAAAAAAACAACCAATTATATACAATAATGAATTTATTGGTTTTTTGCTTATTACTGCCATTAAGGCAAAAAATAAGGTGAATACAGATAATATCCCAAAAAATATTAATTCCATTAGTTTTTCTGTCTTTTACTTATATCAATTCTATTGTTGATGCTTTCTACTAGTAATTCTTTTCCATAAATAAAATTTTGTCTTTTGTAAACGGGCTCAACCAAATGAGGGGTTAAAAATATAGCTTCCTTTGGACAAGCTTCTTCACAAAGTCCACAAAAAATACAACGAATCATATTTATTTCATAAACTTTAGCATATTTCTCTTCTCTGTATAATTTTTCTTCTTCTGGTTTTCTTTCTGCTGCTTGCATGGTAATGGCTTCTGCTGGGCAAGCTAATGCACATAAACCGCAAGCAGTGCATCTTTCCCTTCCTTGTTCATCTCTTTTTAATACATGTTTCCCTCTCCATATTGCAGATAGGTTCTTCTTTTGTTCTGGATATTGTATGGTTATTTTCTTCTTAAAAAAATGTTTTAAAGTAATGCTTAACCCTTTTGCAATAGAAGGTAAGTACATCTTTTCCATTAAAGTCATTTCTTTATTAGATACTTCTTTTTTCCTACCCGATAATGATTGATATGAAGTTGCCATTTTATAAAAAATATTGGTCTTTTAATACAATTACCACTCCTGTAATTATGATGTTAAATATAGCTAAAGGAATTAACTTTCTCCAACCTAAATCCATTAGTTGGTCATACCTAAATCTTGGTAGAGTCCATCTTACCCATATAAAAAAGAATATAAAAAAGAATGTTTTGGCTAAA